AAGATGTGTAGGCTTCCTGCTGTCCTGATGTCAATGGGGAGCTCATTCCACCATTTTGGAGCCAGGATAGCAAACCAACGTGTTTTTAATTGAATCATATTTCTTGAGAAAATAATCAGCAAATACATTGTCAGTCAAAATCATTGTTCCAGTGATGAAAGGCACTTGTTCACTTTCTTGCTTTGTGTTGGATAAGAAGATCGATTCCACTAGCATGTGATTAGCTTAGTTTAGCTTAGCATGAACACTGGGAGCAGGGGGAATGGTAAAGGTGATGGTAGACTTTTTTCTTTATCACAGAGCATGAGAGTGGTATTAATCTTCTCATCTAACTCCTGGCAAATAATGTGAATGTTAGCTTATCGCCAAATGTTAAACTATTCCTTTAATTTCACATTTAAGGTCAAATATAATGTCTCTGTGTTGTAGTTATCTAAGCAGTCATTGTGGAGATTAGTAAACGGCTCTATGTATTATTAATGGGATTTCCTTTTGCACTCTTAAAAAGAAGACTCTCTTACATCTAAATTGATATTTAGTGTGAGGAGTTGAAATATAAAGATGTCATGCTTTAATGTTCCCCTTCGGTGCAATTTAAGATGTTCTGCTTAAGGTGTGTGTTGAAGCAAAATGCAAAAGGTCAATTAATAATGATTTTATTGTTGTGTGTGAAAGCCAGAATGTTTGCTGAGCTTACGCAAAAAGAAAGTTGGTGTAGAAACACAGATAATCTGAATTTATAACTTGCTCTCAGATGTATTTTAAGGAATAATTTGAGAAGCAAAACAAACAAAAAGTGATTTTCTCCCCAGCACATTGAACTGTCAAGGAGATATTTTTGCTGAATAGTGATTGACAGATTGAGCTTGCTGACGTCCAAAGGCGTGTGTTCTCACAATAGACCACAGAACCCAACATGACCCGTCATTATTCACAATAGTAACTGAAAAGGAAACATTTCTTCTTTGTGCTTCTGAATCTGTGCGGAGGTTGTCTCATGAAATGATGTACAGTGATGGAAAACAACCAACAGTATTCCTTCATGTCAATGTCTATGTTGTTATATATATTGATTATTTTGTACATAATGTATATCGAGCATGTGCATACATTGAAATCACTTTTACTACCAGTATGATACAATATAACATGTACATGTTTTAAGCTCTGATTTTAATGGTCTTATTTTTTATTATCCCCAGACAATAATAATGAAATCAACAGTTCCCTTCATACAGAGAACAGTTAATTCAAGGACTGCCCTGTTTCCAGACCTTCCTGTTTCCTAAATAGATCACTGACAAATCATCTTTCACTGCTTATTTCCTAGTCTGTTCCACCTCCACTTCAACTTTAGTCAGCAGGTGCAGTGCAGTAGGTTTTTGATGGATGAAGACTCAGTTGAAAATCAATTTATTATCCGTTCCGGACTTCAAGTTGGATTTATTTCTTCCGATAACCTTAGGTCACCTTGCACAAAGTAGGATATGAAAATGTAAACTACATTGGCTTGGGCACAGTTAATTTGGTTGTCTGCACATAGTGTGAAATGAGCTTCTTTATGTACCGTGTACTAATGCTGAGTCCGAACCGCAGAGGCGCGGGTTCGACTCCCACCCTCGACCCTTTGCTGCATATAGTCCCCTCCAAATCTCCCATACCTCTTTAGCTATGCTATATATAAAGGAAACAGCGTCCAGAAACATATCTTAAGAGACATATATCAGCCTCTTGTGTATACAGTTGAACATAATACAGCAAATACTGTAAAAAAATAAATAACGCTTTAGATACAATCAAAAGTCTTACTTGGAAAGCTTCGATCCAGTCAATGCTTAGTAAACATGAATATGCTGCTTGCATCTGGTGTTGTCTATTTTATTACACAGGTGACTTTTTAACACAGTGGAGTGCTGGTCTGGGCTGTCACCATATAGGGGCCCTTTTTATTCTGTTCACCGATGCACACATCCATACTTTAGTATAGAATTAGGTATTGCGTCTACCGTGGACGAGCATTGACAGATGGTTGAACCAGACAGTATTAATCACAAGGAGCGAGTCCTGTCAAACGTTTATGACTGCAGTCTGTCTCATCTCATCTTAAATGAAGCTTTAAGGTAAACACAATTAACCTTATTGAGACCAAATCAAAGTTTTAGCACACCACGCAGCCCTTGCATTGTTGATAATGTGAAATTAAAGATGCAAACAAAGAATTCCTGCCATTAGATTTAAAATATTTCTCTAAAATTCCAGTTGAGGTGTTTTAAACATCCACCAACAAACTTCTCCCAGGTGCTGCTGTTTATTTGCAGTACCGTAAAACTCCCACCAGTTCATGAACATGTTTACATTTGAGGATGTCTGCTCTTGTGATGGTTCTTGAGGCTTCCTTTATCACATTCACAAATCAAATCACAGAGCCATAATCTGACTGCCAAAAGCCTTTAATCGTCAACATGTTATTGTATCTTCATCTTGTGCGATTCCCAGGAAGGTGCAGTGATTTGCTGGAGATTCACAAGTGTCAGTCACAATGTTAAACCTCCAATTTGAAAAACAGCCATTGAAATGCATTGATTTTTTTCTTTTATGATCTGTGAAGTCAAAGAATGATGTCATATATCCCCAACACAGCCATTGTTATGTCCAGACTGTGTATATTGTTTTTGTATATAAAGAATCATTGAAAAACATTGATTTTGTCAGCCTGTTTTTTTTCTCGTCACATGAGCAGTTTTACCTTTTATCAATGAAGTAATAGAAGACAGTGAGTAAAAATAGGATGCATACAGCACATGCAGGACCACCTTAGCTGGATCTCTTATGATCCTGAGTTTTTAAAATGCTTTTGACTAGTGATTGCCTTGAAGTAAACCTTTAAACTGCATGCTGGTTTTGATTTTATAGTTTGATAAGTGAGATCAACTAATGGTTAAATGTTAAAACATATTATTTTGAAGTAGATGTTTTTGCTATTATGCATCTGTGATTTATGTGTGTTCATTATTGTGCTTTTGACAACAGATGATCAAACACTGATGAGAGATGATTTTTTATTATGATTGGCTGAGCAATCATTGTGATTGAATGTTTCAGTCTTATTCTACTTTGTGATGTAATTGATGTTGTGTAAGAACACACTCAAGTCTGAAGACGCCTATTGATTTAAGAATTGACCAAATTATTATTAGACTAATGTTTTCAGGTTATCAAAGATGATAAAAAGGGAGGAACTGTCAAAGAATATTTCTGTCTTTACTTTAGATATTTAACCTATTCTGTGTGTTGATGTTTACGACCAAACCCTGGCTCTGTTATCTCTCTTAAGGAATGGGAGGCTCCAGCTATCTTGATAAACCAGTTCAATTATCGGTCACGAAATGGTTTACGACTTTGAGAACGCTGGCTTTCTAAGCTCCACAGATGTGAGAGACATCTCCTGTGTCTCCAGATGTTTACACCTCCCCCAATATGCTCATTAACTCTCTGTAAACTAGTTAAAAGGTCTATCGAGAGATACGTTGGTCAGAATTGACATGACAACCCACCCGTGCAGTCAGAACCTTTTGTTGCTGTGACTTGTGATATGAATTCTCCGGCCGTTGACTTGTAATAAACATCATTGTTTCCACACCAAATCTCCAACTCTCCTCGTGTCTCTCTGAGTCCTGACTCTCCATTGCTGCAGAAGTTTCCCTTACAAATGTCAGAATTTTTTTTTATTGCATTGATCACTCTGCACTCCTTTTAGAGCAGGTTTTAGGAGGCACATTTCCTAATTCAATATTCAGAGCCATGAAATGGAAAGACAGTGTCAGAAGGGTTTTTCTTTAAATACATCATTCCTTTCAGATTTCCTAAAATAATTAAAAAGGGAGCCAATTTTTGGGATTTCCACTTGTATCACAAGGACGGCTGTAAAACATCTTAAGAGCCCATTTAGAAACTCATTAGTGGAGCAATTAGTGTCAATTAAGCCTTTCTAGGATATTAGATTTTTTTCTTTAATGAAGAAAGCCTTTAACTCAATCTCTTCTCATCACCTTCCATGTACTCAGTATTTGAATAATTGTGGAGGATGACACTGTAATTATCCTGAGAAATCTGTCTTGAACATTGCTGTACCTTTTGGCTCTCATTGAGTTTCTACTTGGGTTACAAAAGGACGTATGATTCTCCCCAAGAGAGGAGACACATGGATTTTCTTTTCCGCCAAGGAAGCGGTCTGGCTCAGAGGAATATGGATTGTTGTTCAGTCTACCACTTTGGTCCAGAGAGAAATGGTTAGAGAGAAGTTCATTGTTCCAGAAGGATGAACCCCTAAAGACTCGTGAAGTGATCCTCTAAACTTTCATCCAGTGTCATCACAAAAACTACATCTGTGGTTCTGAGTAAAATGCTTTCACTATTAGATAGATTGCTATTAAGTTTGGTAGCCTGTATAGACATTTCATGATGTATTGTACAAAATGTTTCAAAAAATACCAATCATGTAAAACAATATGTATTTGTGCAATCCTTTGACTGAAAACCTGCAAAACGAATGACTTTCTCTTATAAATAGCTTTATAGTATAGCTTGACATGCTTTACATCATCCAGTGCAAATTAGCAAATGCTAGCTAAACCTGCTACTTACTTTCTACTTGAATTTGTAGGCCTACGTCTGTACATTTCTTAAATTCTTGAAATACAATTTTCACTCCTTTTAGTTTATTATAGTGTTCTATTCTCTTTGTCTCTATCTATACTTTGCTGTAACACCCTTCATTTCCCCTTTGTGGGACGAATAAAGGTATTCTGATAAGACACGTTGAATCTTGTCATTGTTAGCATCCGTTAGCATTTAGCTCAAAGCACTTG